AGGAAATAAGCCAGTCAATGAAAGAAAAATACCCCATGATCTCACTCATTTATGGATAATAAAGAACATTATAAACTGATGAACAAAAATAGATACAGAGGCAGAGCAGCATCGAACAGACTGTCAAACTACAGCAGGAAGGCCAGGGATGGTGGGAAGAAGGGGTAAGAGATCAACTGAAGGACATGTATGCATGCATATAAGCATAACCAATGGGCACAAGACACTGGGGGTAGGGGAGGCTGAAGGAAGGTCAAGGAGGGGGAGGAGACATATGTAATACTCTTTGTAATACTTTAAGCAATAAAACAAAATTTAAAAAAAAAGAAAATGGGAAAACCTTAGATTCATTCTGGCTGGGAAAAAAAGATTAACTCCTGTACTTCACTTTCCATATGTCTAAGAATGACATAATATTAATATAGCACTGTAATTATCAGGGTGTTGGGAGTTACACAGAGTATCTGATAGTACATTAAGTATAAGTGAGCTATCTATTGGCAGTCCATAAAAGTCAGCCTGAAAAGAAACAGCATCACATGCCTCTTATCATTATCACCTGAAATGACTTGTCTTAAATTTTTGCATAAAGTTGTACCAATAGGTATTAATAGCGTTGAAATATCCAAATATAAGATATAAGAAATGTATAAAAGAACTATAGTATATTATTCCCCAAATGTAATACTGAGCACAAAGATCACTTGCCTGGGAAAAATCCTGGGGAGAATTTGTGCAGGGACACCATCATGACTTTGGAGGTGAAACTGAAGGCATCTTCCACACCTACAGAAAAAGAAACAGAAGAGTCACTTAAAATATGCAACTCTTGTTTTCAACAACTGAAACTCTAGAAAGCAGCTGTGGGAAGGAAGAGAGATGAGAAGGTAACGATAATAAAGCTAACAAGCCGAGGAATAACATAACAAAACCCTCTGGTCTTTGACCTCTGCCATTACTGGAGGAGGTTCATTTTCAAATTCATGGTAAATTATAATTGGACTTCTCTTTTCCAAGCAATGGGATGCCCAGACTCTTTTGGACAACCTGTTCAAAAAGTGGGAGGGCCCTAGCTGGTTTGGCTCAGTGGGTAGAGAGTCGGCTTGCAGACTGAAAGGTCCCAGGTTCAATTCCAGTCAAGGACACATGCCCGGGTTGTGGGCTTAATCCCCAGTCAGGGGGGAGGCATGCAGGAGGCAGCCAATCAATGAGTCCCTCTCATCGTTCATGTTTCTATTTCTCTCTCCCTCTCCCTTCCTCCCTGAGATCTATTATATATATACTAGAGGCCTGGTGCACAAAACTTTTTGCACTCGGGGCGGGGAAGGGGGGGCCCTC